TTTTCTGTCTATCGGCTCCCCACAAATATACACACACACACACAAATATACACACACACTGCATATATATAAAAAGCCACCCAGGTAGTCCTCAACTTACAACAGCACTGAAGAAAGTGACTTGGGAGCGTTTCTCTCGCTTACGACCCTAATAGTTATGTGATCAAAATCCTGCCGCTTGGCAACTGGCGGTCACAGCGTCCCGGGTCACATGATCCCTTTTGCGACCCTTTTGCAAAAGTCCATGGGGAAGCCAGATTCACTTAACAACCATCTTCCTAACTCAACAGCTGCAGTGATTCACTGAAGAACTGTGGCAAGAAAGGCCATCAAACGGGGCAAAGTGAGCAACAAATGTTTCACTTAGCAACGTAAACTTTGGGCTCCAATGTGGTGGCATGTTGAAGACTAACTTTTGTATTATGTGTTTCTTTTAATGTTGTCCGCCGCCCTGAGTCCTTGGCAGAAGGGCGGCATATAAATCAAATCAACCAAACCAAACCTGTTCCTTGTAGGAGGCCCTGTTGGCGTCTTCCCATCCCTGTTTAAATGTGTTTGGCTTACTTCAGGGGTCTCTGCGTTGCCCGGCAGGAGAGCAAACTGCCAGGTTGGGGGGGGGGGGGCTTGTCCCTGTCCCAGTGGCCTGATGGCTTCATGGGTTGATCCCTGTAGGGAGAAGGCAAGCTCCTTCCCACTCATGAAGGGTCTCTGCAGCTCCATGTCTGGAGTGCTGCTGACTTCAGGAATGAGGTCCAGCCCCACCCAGATTGAGTGTATGGTGTGTTCTTTCTTTTAAAATTGTTCTTTATTTTAACTCCTATATTAACTTTTTCTGTAAGCCGCCCGGAGTCCTACGGGATTGGGCGGCATATAAATCTATTAAAAGTTAAAGAGTGGGCCTTGAGGGAAGGTTCTGCCAAGGGAAAGGAGCCTCCTGAGCAGGATCAGGGCGTGTGTCCGTCTCCTTCCTGCTGAAGTGGTGGGGCTCCTCATGCCCCCTGAGTTTGGGGACGGTCCTCGCAAAGCAGAGCCGGCTGGGACCTTCCCTTTGGGGTCCTCCCTTTGCACTCTGACCCCCGTGCAGAACAGTTGAAGAATTCGCTCTTGAGCCTCACCTAGCTAGATTTTTCTGCTTTTCCCACCCGGGCTGCTTTCTCTCCACTGGGTTTAAACAGTCTTTCACTCACTGCTTCATGTCCGCTGATTGGAAACGGAACAATATATAATATACGGGCATCAGTCCCCAAGTCTTTTGATGGATGGATTTATCTGGGTATTAGTGTCGGGTCCTTCTCTGTTGCCTCCATTGGTCTCTCGCAGCACCTGAAGAGTGACCACTGCCTTCTCCTCTCTTTCCCAGGGGGTCCCTCAAAACCTTTGTCCACACCGTCCATCTCCTACAAAAACAGACTGACTTGGGATCCCTGCCCGTGGCTGACGTGTTGTACAGGTGAGGAGGAAGGTGTGGGGGGTTGTGTGTGTAGGGGAGACCCCCCCTATTGCTCTAAACCACACGCATCACTTCAGCCGCGCCATTTTCATCGTTTCCTCCCGATAGTCCAAAGCCAAAGTAATTGTAATTTAATAAATTTACGTCAACATGCATCAGCCCTCTTCCCTTAAAAGCCCGTAAAGCCCCTTAACTCTGCATTTTTCTGTAGTTCATTGTTTCTATGTCCCAGAAGTCTGTATTTATGTGTGTGTGTGTGTGTGTCCACATCTGTTCCCTGAAGGCTGCTGCTTTTAGAAGGCGGACCCGGATCGCCCTCCTGCCTGCTTGGGGGCAAACACATGGTGTCCTGGGGGTTTGAGGACATGCTGCCGGCACCTGAGGCCAGCCCTGGCTCTGGCTCGGAAAATAAAGGTAAGAATGCTGGAAGGCTGCACATACCTGCATCCCTTAGAACAGTGTTTCTCAACCTTGGCAACTTGAAGATGTCTGGACTTCAAGCCCCAGAAATGGGGAATTCTGGGACTTGAAGTCCAGACATCTTCAAGTTGCCAAGGTTGAGAAACACTGCCTTAGAACACCTGAGCTTGGATACTTTCACAGCAGGCAGAAGCCACGGCGAAAATGATAGGCGGGTAGAGGCAGCTGGGAGGTTTTATTCCACAGAGTGAGGGACAGATCAAAGGCTGCTCAGTGCCCAGAACTGGACATAGTAAAAGGCTGGACTGTCCAGGGAGACAAGCGCATCAAGCTTTTTTTGGCCCCTGATGGAAAGAAATCCGTTGGCCTTTGGCAGAATTAACCGGGGTGGCAGCCACGGGGAAAGTCCTCGCTAGTAGGCAGGTGGCAGTTGGTGGCGGTTCAAAGAAACATTTCCCCCCAAATTCCGTGGCTTCCTCCCGCTGAACCCCTCTTGCAGATGCGGACTTAGGACGCTGCCTGGCAGTGGATGGGCTTTATCTTTATACCACCAACTCCGTTGGCCGGGGAATCAGCAAATTGGGCTCCGGATTACACGGTACTTTACGGTAAGCCCCCCCGGCACCAAAGCCAGGCCTCCGGGAGAGGAAGGACAAGGGAGAGAAAGACCATCCTGGGGTGGGCTTCCAGGAGGGATGGGGGCGCCTGAGTCCGAGCTCTCCTGCTCTTCCTTCCAGGGGCTTTGTGTATTCCCGCAACGAGGAGCTGGAATCCGGCTGGGTGGCCTTCGGCAACGGCCGGCTGCTCCACAGGCCAGTTTCTTTCGACAGCAAACCTCACTCCCTTTTCCAGGTCATCGATCAGAACACGCTTCAGGTACAATCAGAGCTGGGTTTAGATTGACTGTCTGTTCCGAGGCCTGGTTTGCGATTCAGCCAAGTGGTCCAGGTCGCCGTCCCCCGTACCCCTCCGCCCGACCTTCCGTCGTCACTAATTGCCCTTGTCTCTTGGGAACCCCGGTGATCTTTCAGAAAACAAGATCAGAAAAGTCCCTTGTGCGGATGCTGTCTTTCCCTGGGCAACTTTGTCCTCAGTCCCCAAATGCTCAGCCTGAGATCTTAGGATCTGAGCTCTGTGCCAGCCAACTCAAGACATGAAACTCTGCCCTGGATGCTTCCCAGGTGACTCGGGCTCTCGGTCTCCCTTGGAAAGCTAGGAATCCATTACTGAGAATGTCCGAGGATGAGCACAATATTGTCTGCTGGCTGCATCTGAGACGGCGGCCAAGAGCTGAGACAGCAGCAGGCAAACCTCGAGCTCCTTAGCGTCGCAGCCCGCTCGTTATACGAAGGAATCTTAGGACGGTTTAGCCAATGGATCTGCTAGTAACGGCGGGCAGGATGAAGGAAACCACAGAGTCCCAATTAGAACTCATGTCTTCCTATTGGAACATGTTGGGGGAAGCCCTTTCTCCCATCCTGTCCACACATGAGGACTTATTGTATTTTTCAGAGTATAAGACGCACCTTTTTCCCTCAAAAAAGAGGCTGAAAATCTGGGTGCGTCTT